TGTGCAGAGGCAACAAGGAAAACATGAAGCTCTTGCTCAGAAGCAGGAAGTAATAACTGGAATTCTAGTACGGAAAAAAAAAGAAATACCTGCAACTCCGATACAGAGGCAAGGAAGTGCATCCAATACTCCAGAGCAGAAACAGAATAGAACAATTGGAACACCGGTACAGAAGCAAGAAGGAACGCTTGTGCAGAGGCAACAAGGAAAACATGAAGCTCTTGCTCAGAAGCAGGAAGTAATAACTGGAATTCTAGTACGGAAAAAAAAAGAAATACCTGCAACTCCGATACAGAGGCAAGGAAGTGCATCCAATACTCCAGAGCAGAAACAGAATAGAACAATTGGAACACCGGTACAGAAGCAAAAAGGAAGATCGATGCAGAAGCAAGAAGGAACGCTTGTGCAGAGGCAGGAAGGAACACCTGTGCAGAGGCAACAAGGAACAACTAGAATCCCAGTGCAGAAGCAAGAAGGAGGAACTGGAATTTCAGTGCAGAAGCAAGAAGAAATAATTAAAACTCCATTACAGAAGGAAGAAACAACAACTGAAACATCAGTGCAAGAACAAGGAAGAACATCTGGAATCCCTGTACAGACACAAGAAGGAGCAACTAAAAGCGCTACACGGGTGCAAGAAGAAGCACAACTTTCGAATTCCTCGGAAAATGAAAAGCTTAAAGTGTGTGCCGCAGATTCGATGCAAGTGGAGCCGACTATGAGTTACGTGAAGCCACCAACGGCCCAATTTTTCCCCCCTCAGGGAGCACAGTTGATGCCAATCAAAATGATAGGAGCTTCTGGAGCACCTCTTTACCAAGTTCCTCAACAGTATGGGCTTGTTGCTGTTTCGCCTTTTCCGCAACAAGCTGCGATGCAAATTGCAGAAGCCCCTGTATATGGGGCAGTTCCCGTTCCGTCATATCCAGTACAGCCCAACGTGCAAATGATAGAAACTCGATCAGGACCATTATACAGCCAAGTTCTACAGCAGTATGAGCTAGTCCCTATTCAACCATATCCAGTACAACCTGAAATGCATATAGTGGAAACTCGACCAGTACCATTATATAGCCAAATTCCACAACAATATGAGCCTGTTCCTTTCCTATCGCAATTCCCCCTGTCAGTTCCCGACTTATCTGCACCGCCAATGGCAGGAATTCCCACACATCCGTTACCTGGTCAAGTCATACCACAATTTCCTCCAACAGTTCCCGAATTAACCGCACCACCAATAGCAGGAATTCCCACACATCCGTTACCTGGTCAAGTCATACCACAATTTCCTCCAACAGTTCCCGAATTAACCGCACCACCAATAGCAGGAATTCCTACACATCCGCTACCTGGTCAAGTCATACCACAATTTCCTCCAACAGTTCCCGAATTAGCCGCACCACCAATGGCAGGAATTTCCGCAGAGCCGTCACCTGCTCAAGTCATGCCGCAATTCCTTCCGTCATTCCCCGGACCGCCAATGGCGCAAATTTCTGAACCTGGTCAAGTCTTACAGCAATTTGGTGTACATTATCCAAGGTTTCAATTAGCATCCGAACGGTCTATATATAATCAGCCATACTTCCAGGCGCCACCCGAACTGTTTCCTGGGAGTGAAACGCAGCAATTTCTTAATCAAACTCAACAATATGAGCCTCGTTATAAGGCTGAAGGGATCGTGGTCACCGAAGTGACTGTCAACTTATCCAATCCCTCAATCAATCTTTCTGTGGCACATAATAATTTAGAACAACGAAAAGCAGATACTGAGAAGAAAAATAAACCAAAAAAGAAAAGAGAGGCAGAGCCAAGGGCAACCCAAGCAGAGTCAAAAGCAACCCAAGCAGAGCCAAAGGCAACCCAAGTCAAGTTCATTTATGGTGAGGGTTCCATGATACGAATTGAGGTACCCGAGAAAAAAGATATCTCAAAGCGATCCCAAATCAAAGTGTGGCCACGTTCCAGGAAACATCGTTGTGACAGGTTGGTTATCAGACATCAGGCTCAAATGATCGAAAAACTTTTTCTATACGGATTATCCGATTCGGTTAGTTATTGTGCAGTTTATACTTATTTTCAAAAATTTTCATCCTTTGATAATATCCATTATTTCATCCATCAAAGTTTTAATTAAATTATGTTCGTCAATTAAACAATTTAATTCCGTGTGATCTTTTAAAATACATGTGATTAACTTCTAATAAATACTTTATACGATATTCAATTTTTATTTTTCTCTTTGAATTATGGAATTTATTGCAAAAAATTGAGCTATGAAGCAAGTTGTATTTGCAGGAGAGTCCGGAAGTGGCATGTTCA